CAGCAAGTCCACCTGTGAGTGGCTTAAGAAAACAAAATGAAGACTTTGGAGTGGTCCAGTCAAAGTCCTGACATGAACGTGACTGAGATGCTGTGGCATGACCTTAAAAGTGCAGCTCCTGCTTGAAAACCCTCCAGTGTGGCTGAATTACAGCATTTCTGGAAAGATCAGTGGGCCAAAATTCGTCCACGGCGCTGTGACACACTCACTGCCAGTTAACACAAACACTTAGGGGGCAATCACTTTTTCAGACCACAGTAAAACCATGTAGTAATGACAGGAGGAATGCCCAAAGTGTCCTTTTGTTGTCATTGGGTTTAATTATCATGCCTCTCTATCAGGTTTTTCAACTAATTATTTATTGTAAAAGGATTTGGGTAAATAATGGATATGTATGTATATGATGTACGTGTAAAGGTACATTTTTAAAAATGCATTCTCTCTCTTATTACAGTATCAAGTTACTGGCAGTGCAAGACCTGCTGGAGCACGAGGCTATTGATAAGGTAAAGTGGAACATGAATTACACTTATCCCAACTTCTATTGTAAATGAGGTGACTTGCGTGCACGGGCAGCAGGAATCAGAAATGTGACAGCAGCTTGTCTTTGTGTATTCTCTGCAGGGTTTCAGTGATGGGGAGGGTCGTTAAGTTGATTGGGTTACAGCCATGTAGGGCCTTCCATGTGGTTTAAGTACGCCTGAGTTAAAAACACTCTTGTGCTCTCGCTCCCAGGACTGACACCCTCAAATTTTAGTTGATTTTTTCCGTCACACTGCTGCCAACATTAGCGCACATTTCATTCATTCATTCATTCATTCATTCATTCATTCATTCATGTCATTACTGATTTATAACTTATATTTGTCATATTTTCTTTTAGTGAATAACATAATGATTAGCAACACATCCTGTCTCGTCCCCCCCTTATTGTCACTGGCTATGGGCCAACTTGTAACAAGTGGGGGCTTGTCCGGGATCTAATTCATTGTTGGAGACGGTTTGCTTTGTCATCTGACTTAAGCTCATTGTTCCGATGGAAACTGTTTTCACTCCTGTCTTGGAAGGAGTCTGTTGGCTTGGTCCGCTCTGTGTGCATTTGGCTTGTGTTTTTGTTGTTTTGTCACAGCTGACAGAGGAGCGATGTCACGTTTCTCTGGGCTGGTCACAGTAAGGGGGCAGATGTATTTAGTTGGGATGTTTCTGGCAACTATTTTCTTAGTTGACTAAAATGAGGGAAATAAATTAGACCACATAACTGACTAGTCTAAAACTAAGAAACACTCAGACGTCAACTTACGTTTGAGAACCGTTTAATAAACAATATTTAAAAACTCTGAAACCATTAATCACATTCTTCATGTCACTTAACTGGGCAGCACCTCACATCGTGTGTTATAAATATTACACATTAAACTCCAAATAGAAAAGGAAGAAAAAAACTTTAAAATAATAAACTAATGTTAAGTTTAACTATACTACAGCGTTACTACAGAA